TAACAGCCTTGGCTGTCCTGAAACTCACTTTGTAGACCAAGCTGTCCTTGAACTCACAGAGATCTGCCTGCCTCTGCCTCCTGAGTGCTGGGATTAAAGGTGTGCGCCACTGTGCCTGGCTTGTTATGTGGACTGTAAAACAATAACGTAAGTACAAGGGCTGATGCAGTCTTCTAGGTGGGGTGCTTTCTGCACCAGGCTGGGGGTCTTGGGGGTGAAGACACAGAGAACAAGCAGGAGGAGTTGTTCACTGAGTTCCATCCTGGTCTAAGAACCCAGGAAACCGAGGAGCATCTGGAAAGCCCACCCCAAGTCTTAGTGTCAGAGGGGCTGAGGCTGGCCAGTTTCTTCTATTTCCCCCAGTCCTTTCTCCCTGGCTGCCCAGTTTGGTTCGTGAACAGCCTCAGCACCACCACTGAGATTGTGTCCCCACTTCACCCCTCCACTCCTGACAGGGCCAGGTATCGGCCAACTCTGACTCCTTACCTGTATGTAGACTACCTAGAGCAGAACCCTGGACATTATGACAAAGAGACCCACACCTGACTCCAGATCGGAAACTGTCCAAATCTAGAAGAAGCCATTTGGAGGATGAGTAGCATGTGTTATGATATATGCATGAGGGGGACCCCGGCTGACCAGGGTATCCCACCCATGCAGGGAAACATGCTGGCATGCTGGGCAGTTGCAGCGGTAGGTGGCAGTTGAGACACATCATGCATGCATGGTGGCGGCGGTGGTGGTAGACAGTCATTCACAACCCAGGCACTGCATCACGTGGAAATAGTTTATTATAATAGGGAGATAAAGAGACAGAAAGACAGAAAGGAGAGAGAGGAGAGAAGAGAAGAGAAGAGAAGAGAAGAGAAGAGAAGAGAAGAGAAGAGAAGAGAAGAGAAGAGGAGAGAAGGGGAGGAAAAGCAGAGGTGTGCGCACCTCATGGCAGGGAGGAAAGAAAGCAGAAGAGAGAGAGGAAGGGGAGCGGTTTTTCCTTAAAATGAGGCTTTTACATCAGGACTCAATAGAGGAATCAGATAGACTTCTCCAGAAGCAGAATTGTTCCTTTAATTAGAGCCACTGAAGAAGCACAGTCTCTCCCAGAGAGTAGAGACTGTGATCATGTAATACAGGATGCTGAGGTTTTATAGGCCAGAAAAAAGAGACTTTGGGGGTGAAAGTTACTTCTCCTGAAGTCTCAAAGTGGTAGGTGCCTCTCAAAGAGGTATGTGGTTTGTTTTTTTTTAATCAGAAGAGTCTGGAATCCTAAAACAGCCCACAGGTGTCATCACACAATTTTCTGTCCAGAGCTTCTCTGTCCACCTAAGGCTGTGAGGTCATAAACCCTCCACTAAACCTTTCAGGAGGTCAAGGAGCCCAGTGTTGGAGGGGAAGGGGAAGAAGGAACTAGCCTTTTTAATTATTTATTTCTTCTAATTTTTAAATTTACATTTCATGGTGTGTGTGTGTGTGTGTGTGTGTGTGTGTGTGTGTGTGTGTGTGTGAGTGTTGTTCGAATCTTAGATGGTCTTTTAATAAAAAAACTCAGAGCCAGATATCAGGGTGAAAGCTGAAAGATCAGAGAAGCAGAACAGCCAGCCACTAGTTCTTATCTCTACAAAATCCTCAGCCTAAAGACAGTGGGTTCCTGTTTCCTCACACCTTATATACCTTTCTCTGCCTGGCCATATCACTTCCTGGGATTACAGGCATGTGTGCTTCCCAAGGAAAGGCATGAGATCTCAAGTGCTGGAATTAAAGGTGTGTGCCACCACTGCCTGACCTCTATGACTGATCTAGTGGCTGGCTCTGTCCTCTGATCCTCAGGCAAATTTATTAGGGTGCACAATATATCACCACATTTCCCCTTTTCTGTCTAAAATAATAAAAGAAGGTTATAACTAACATAAGAAAAACTATATACAATAAGTACAATAAGTATATACAATATACACATTCAAGAATTACATTAACAGTATCCAGTCCATTAACATTTGACAAATTCAGAGAAAATACTTCATTATTTATCCAATTTTGGTGAGTCCAAAATGTTGTACCTAATTTATTTTCTATCCTAACTTGTATTAACAACCGAAAACTATCTTTTGATGTCTTTCAAACTTATACATGTTACACATCTTTAGTGAGTTTCTTTTCTGAGTTTGTTAACAAGGAAAACTATAAATATCTAATCTTCAACTCCCTCAGAGACCAAAGAAGGAAATAATATTACTGAAGTAAGCAGGAAGTGCAAACAAGCAACTTCCAAAAAATGTGAGAAATGATAGAAACATCTGACTGCCTGGACAGTCACCCAAGATTTCTCTGCAACATTGGGGCATCCATCTTCAGCCTACAGGCCTAGCATATCTGACAGACTCGTCTGTGAAGCAGGATTTTCTAAAAAGCTTTCCTACCTTGTCTTGGCAAGGTGCAGCAGTCCTTTCTTTTGTGTCCTGCTTGTCCATCTTGGACAGCATACTGTCAGCAGTCAAGACAAGGTCATTTTCTTGCCTAGTGGCTAACTTGCCACAAAGAAAGTAAACTCCACCTGGAGTTTCTTTGATGCCCATCACCTTCTCTGAAGTAGATTGGTGCTGCCAGGAGCAGACATGTCTCATTGTCATTAAAAAAAAAAAAGAATCTAAATACTAACTTGCATTTTTTTGTATCCTAATTAGTTGGTAGTAATAACTTTCAAGGATTAGCAAATTGCATTACATTGTTAAATGAACTGTACAGGTACAATACCTTGAACAAGATTAGAATATATGTACAGTATTTTCTAACAAAGTTGACCTCAAATTTGTATCAAAATACATAATTTGTATACAATATACAAAAATCCAATCCAGTGTAAATATTTAAAACTAGTAGTAGTTGCTTTCTAAAAGTAGATTCAATAATCTACCTTTTATCTTATATATCTATATCTTCCCATTTTTTCTTTTCAGAGCAGATTCAATAATTTACCCTTTATCCATCATTTCTGTATCTTTTTTTTGAAAGTAGATTTAATAATCTACCTTTTTTTAAAAAAAAGATTTATTTATTTATTTATTATGTATACAGTGTTCTGCCTGCATATATGCCTGCAGGCCAGAAGAGGGCACCAGATCTCATTATAGATGGTTGTGAGCCACCATGTGGGTGCTGGAAATTGAACTCAGGACCTTTGGAAGAGCAGCCAGTGCTCTTAACCTCTGAGCCATCTCTCCAGCCTAGTAATAATCTACCTTTTATCTTATATCTCTATCCTCTTTTTTCCTTTCTTTTCCTTTTTTTTAAACAAGAACCCTGAATCTAATTTCCTTTGTTTAGCTTTTTCCCTGACCACTAACAATTAACAACTTGTAACCAACCATTCTATATAATGACAATTATCCATAATACATTGAATGACAAAAACCACCCACCCCATCTCTTGGGAATGTGGGCATCATGTTCTTACAATTACTTCCTGATGTCTGAGGGTGAAGGCATCTTTAGGGGATCCTGAAAAGAAAAATTTTGGGTTAATTGTCAAGTCCTGGGAGAGGTAGTTTTATCATTTGTTGTCCTGTTTCTGTGTAATGGGAAAGTGCAGGGCTTGTCTCAAGTCCTGGCTAGAGTAGTCTGTGAGGCTAGATCATTTAAGCTAGCAATCTTGAAGTTGTCCTGAGCAGTTTGTAGTCTAAAGCCGATCAGTGTTTGTTAGCTTAGTGGTATTATCATCATCCTGATAGAATCATCGTTGTGGGGCCCCATCATCGTTTTGGAGACTTCAAAGTCACTATTAGGTGTGGTCATGGTTCCCTGGAGAAAACTGAGAATCAATCCCAAAATAATGTACAGGAAGCTAGATGAAGCTTTTTTCTAGAATTAGTTAGTAGTATGTGTGTGTGTGTGTGTGTGTGTTGTTGTTACTGTTGTGTGTGTCTACACATAGGTAGGTGAAAGGACCAAGCAGATGCCATAACAGTCTGTTCAATCTTCTCTTAGAGATCAGGCCTCAATTTCAGTTTCCTGAGACTGAGCAAGCAGTTTCTGGGAGGGCCATGAACAAAGACAATCACTGATGTCCCTGCCAGCAGGGACAGAGAAATAGGACACACCAAGCCTGGGCCGCTGAGCCAACCCCCACAGTCAGTATGTGCTAGGCCAGCCAGTCTCCACAGCAGCTCAAGGACAAAGCCTGGGACTTGACCAGGCCTGCCCAAAAATGGATAACTGTAACCCCCAGCTAACCCAACCCAATTAAAAGTTACTAACACGATTGCCACTCACATAAAGCAATCCTGAGTCTGTTCCTATGTAGTCTATAGACTATGCCCCATTGCTACTCAGGGTCTCTCCTGATCTGCTACTGCATCAGATGGACAGAGAGGCCCAGGGTTTGCAACAGTAAAAAGACACTTTGCTTTTGCATCAGATTTGGTCTCTTGGTGGTCTTTGGGGGACTCTGGGTACAACAGTAGGTACCATGGCACATCTGTGATGTCAGAGGACAACTTGGCTAAGTCAATAATTCCCTTCCAGTTTGTAGGTCCTAGGGACCAAACTCAAGACTTCAGGATTGGCCCAAATCACCTGCTGTGTTCTCTCTCTCTCTCTCTCTCTCTCTCTCTCTCTCTCTCTCTCTCTCCCTTCCCTCCCTCCTTCCCTCTCCCCCTCTCTCACACAGCATTATATCACCAATCACATTTATTTAGGACTTTGAACTAGGCCTCAATTTAGGAACTGCGTTTTCTTTTAAAACAATTTTGAAATGTATTCTTTAACAACTTCACACACTTGTAATGTATCCTATTTGTCCACATTCCTTCTTTCTCCTGTCCTCTTTCAACTCACTCAGAACTCTTTCTTCCAAATACATCCCCCTCCTACTTTCAAGTGTTTTATGGTTTTAAAATAACTGACTGAGTGTAATTTAGGCCTCTTGCATGTGAATGGGTGTAGGGTTACTTACCACAGTGAAAGCTGACTTCCCTTTCCAACCCCCCCCCCCCCCCCGCCGCCGCTTCTGTTTCTTCTGTGGTCCAGACCACCCACCAGCATCATCACTCTGTCCCCAAGGTAACTTGTCATCTTTGTGGGGTCTGACCTGGCACCAAGGGCCTTCAGGGGCGGTTCTAGGGCCGTTTGTGTTGCTGTGATCCGATCCTAGCAAAGCCTGGCACCAAGAAGACTCCAGGGGCTTCTGATCACCTCCAGAGTACCCAGGAAGGCCCAGAGGGCATTCTGCCCCGGGATCTCCAGAGAGTGTGAGAAATTTTGTGAGAAATTTCTGGAGAGTACAAGGATAAAGCCAGGGCTCCGCCTTCAACCTGCCGGGGTAGCAATCTCCTCTGCTACCCCTCAATGCTGCCCCTGCTATCGCCAGCAGAGGTCAGTGTGTGACTTCCAGGCTGCCCTCCTGCAAGAGCGGAAGCAAGAAGGGTGTGGGTTGGGGAGACAGGGACTGTTGGGTGTGAGCCTTGGACCCAGTAGGAAGCTGAGATCCATCTAAAGGTGTGGTTCCTCATTCCAGGATCCTGCACCCTGGATAACCTTGAGCTTCTCGTCACGGGTGGCAGCGTAACACTTGCACTAGAGGACTTTAAGCTACCATCCGCTGTGTTGCGCCCAGAGTGCGCGTGCCTATGTGCAGCGCCAAGTGCGTACCCGGCCTGACACTGTGCAGGTGCGCGTGTATCTCGGAGGGCGAGATCTTGCTCTTTGTGTAAGAGCTCGGGTTTGAATGTAGCTCCTGTGCACGCGAGCCCTGTGAGCGTACTCAGTTTACTAACATAGTCTACATCCCAGTTTGTGGGAAGTGGGTGCCGGTGTGGAGGGGAGAGAGCCGTGCTCCCGAGGCTGCACAACTCTGAAAAGTGCTTCCTGAAAGTCCTCCCACTGCGACCACCCACCGAGACTGGGTCCAGGGTCTCCGCTCTTTTTCTCTCCTCTTCTCTGTTTAACCCTCCCCTTTCATTCTCTCTCCATCTCTCTTATTCTGTTTCTCTCCTATTTTTGCCTCCATGTCTTTCATTCTCCCTATTTTCTCGCTCATTTTTTTCTATCTCTAGCTCTCTTGTCCTCTCTGTCTCTCTGGTTCTCTCCCATTTCTCTCCTAAAAGCTCCCTACTCCCCCACCTTTCCAGACTATGTAGTCTAGGAAGGACTTGAATTTCCTATTCTCCTGCCTCTACCCTCCCACGCCGAGTGCTGAAATTTCAGGTATAAGCCAGATTCCCACTTTGCTTTTGTAAAAAGTGAAAGAAAAGTCACACAATGTACAGTTCACCTTTCTAAACGCAACCGCCCCGAGGTATGTACTGTACTCACTGTGTTTGGTGACCATCATCTCCATCTGGTTTTAAAACCTTTACATCACCCCTGAGGAGTCTCTTCCCCTTCCTCTGTCCCTGCAGCCATGGAATCTGCTTTCCATCTCTGTGGACTGCCCATGAAGGGCATGTCCAAGGGACAGAGCCAGAACTCACGCGGCTTCTTTTCTGTGTTCTTTCACTTAACATCAGATTTTCCAGCTTGGTCACGTTGTACCGTGTATTCTAGTCTTTGGATTCAGTATTCCATAAATGATTCACTTAGTATACAATGAAGCACTTGATATGAATGAAATAATTAAGCATTTAATCGGCATTCACAGTGATATCTAACTATGACATTTACTATTCCCAAGATCCTTTTTACTAATACAAAAGAAAATATCATATTCAAAACAAAAAGAGCCATAAAACAACAGAAATTTTAAAGATTCAATTCTGACAGTCTAAAACCCATGAGCAATCACTCCCCATTCTACTTTACCTCCATTTCCTGGCACTAATCTGTCTTCTCCCGCTGTGGGCTTACCTAGTTAGAATATTCCAAACAAATAGAGCACCCACTGTGCTCCCCTTGTCTGGCTTCTCTCACTCAGTCCCCATTTTCTAGGGTCCTCATGTGGCCGCAGGATTTGTGCTGTATTCTGTTATTGGACTACCCTGTTCAGATGGACCACCTTTTTAACCCGTTCACCTGCTGCTTCGTTTTGCAATTTAAAACAATGTGCTTTGTGTCAGGACTGTTAGCAGCATGGAGAGCCAGCCTGGGGAGCACCACAGCAGAGACCTAGGATCCTGTTAGGACACAGAGAAGGAGAGCCCCACCCCCACCCCCTGAAAACTGGGGCAGATGTGACCGGCCGCCACTCGGGGACAGAGAAGAGAGAACCACTGGTGCCAGCGCCCTCCTGTTCTGCACCAAGCAGGTTGGTGATGGGGGGATCCTCGTAGGGATCAGGGAGAAGGAGGAGAAGCAGAGACTAGCTTGACTGTAGGGTGGTGATGGACATCTGTAAGAGCGATCAGGAGTTTTGAGTCTAGATGCCAAATTCCATGTATGGTGAGACTCTGTCCTTGAAAGCCTAAGGAAACAGAAGTCACAGACAGAGGGAACAGGACTGGCAAGAAGCCAGAGGCTGAGTTAGTGTCAGAGGATACAGCTCCATGGTGCTGCTGTCACTGAGAGTGTCCTGAGTGTCACACCACACCACAGTTCAGTACTTAGAGCTCATCACTTCCATTACACACCCCACAACACACGGCCCACAGGTTATTGCTCATTGCTATGCGTCTCGGAGATGGGAGCAGTCAGCCCTGTGTCACAGAGCTAGGGACGTGGTGCAACCAAGCAGAGCCTGCATCCCTTTGCCATGTCTCAGTGAAGGGGTGACTTCCCAGCAAAGCTGCCAGTCAGAAGGAGCTGGCCCTTAGTCCTTGAAGGATCTGAATGTGTGAAAATGGGGAGAAGAATGGAGAGCCTGATATGAGTGAAGGCAGAATAGCCTGGAGGGGATGGAGCGGTATGGGACTGATAATAGTAACACCAGAAGTAGTGTAGAATAATAATTATTCACATTGTTTATTTACATTCTCAGTGTGCCAGGATCTATCTGCACTGATCATTTAAACTGTGTGATGTTATTTAAATCTCAACACATTAATTATTTATTTTATATTCCAGGGTCTTGTTATGCAGCCTACACTACTGTTGAACTTATGAGTTTACTGCCTCCACCTCCCAAGTTCTGAGAGTATAGACATGCACATGCAGCAACCCATCCTTTTAACTGATCACTTGGACAGGTATGTCACTTTCTCCAGGAAACCTGCCCAGACAGTGTTTGGGAATGACATGCTTCTAAACATCTGGTTTAATTCCTATTCTATCAGGTGCAACCAAGATGCTAAGACCAAACTACACCTCAGTGTCTGAATTCATCTTCATTGGCTTCTCCAACTTCCCACAGCAGCTCATGCCCGTCTTCTTTGTTGTGATCCTACTAATGTACCTCTTCACACTGCTGGGCAATCTGCTCATCATGGCCACGATCTGGAGTGAACGGAGCCTCCACACACCTATGTACCTCTTCCTGTGTGCTCTCTCCATCTCTGAGATCCTCTATACCTTGTCCTTCATCCCACGTATGCTGGTTGACCTGCTCTCCACCCATCGTTCCATAGCCTTCCTGGCCTGTGCCAACCAGATGTTCTTCTCCTTCATGTTTGGCTTCACCCACTCCTTGCTGCTCACCATCATGGGCTACGACCGCTATGTGGCTATCTGTCACCCACTACACTACAATGTGCTCATGAGCCCCCGGGGCTGTGCCTTCTTGGTGGCTGGGTCCTGGGCTGGAGGCTCAGCTGTTGGGCTGGTAGTGACAACCTCCATTTTCCACCTCCCTTTCTGTGGACCCAATCAAATCCAACATTTCTTATGTCATGTGCCCCCTATGTTGAAGCTGGCCTGTGGAAGCAATGTGCCAGCTGTGGCTCTGGGTGTAGGGATGGTGTGCATCACAGCCCTCCTGGGATGCTTTCTCCTCATTCTCCTCTCCTATGCCTTCATTGTGGCTGCCATCTTGAAGATACCATCAGCTGAGGGTCGGCACAAAGCCTTCTCTACCTGTGCATCTCATCTTATTGTGGTGATTGTGCACTATGGCTTTGCATCTGTCATCTACCTCAAGCCCAAGGGCCCCCACCTTGAGGAAGGTGATACTCTCATGGCCACTACCTACACGGTCCTCACCCCTTTCCTCAGCCCCATCATTTTCAGTCTCAGGAACAAGGAGCTGAAGAATGCCATAAATAAGGCCTTCTTCAGGAAATTCTGTTCTTCAAACACCTAAGTGGTCAGTATAGAATGATTGGCAGGTGTGGAACATCACTTTATAGATGCCCAGTAAATGTATAGAACTTCTCTTTGATTTATGGGTTCTCATTAAGTGTTTACTGGGAGGTAAGATGTTCATTGGGATATAGTTCATATACTGTGTAGTTTACCCATCACTGTTTTAGTATGCTTGGAACTAGGCAACCATCAATACATTAATTTGAGGAAAATGTTCATCACTTAAAAAGAAAATCTGGATGGAGAGATGGCCCAGTGGTTAGGAGCACTGCTGCCCTTCCAGAGTACCCGAGTTGTGTTCCCACTGTCAAATGGCCCACAACTGCCTGGTACTCCAGACTCTTCTAGCCTCCTTGGGCACTGGCACACACTCATATAGACACACATGCACACATACAAATATAAATAAAAATAAAAAATAAATATTTTTAAAAGAAAGACAATTATACGGTTAACAGTTGTTTCTCAGTTCTTTTTCTACTATATGTTCATTTGTTTTGTGTGTGCATGTATTTGTGTGTGGATGTACATGCACGTGTATAAGTGTCTGTGAGAGCCAGTGGTTAAAATGGTATCTAGCCCAGCATAGTAGTACACGCCTTTAATCCCAGCACTCAGGAAGCAGAGGCAGGCGGATCTCTGGAAGTTTGAGGCCAGCCTGGACTACAGAGTGAGTTCCAGGACAGCCAGAGCTGTTACACAGAGAAACCCTGTCTTGAACCTCCCTCAAAACAAAACAAAAAAACCTGGGTTTTTATCTCAATTTGACTTTACCTTATTTTAAACAACAACAAGAACAAAAAATGTTGTTGTTATTGTTTTTGAGACAGGTGCATTCTGTTATGTTCCTCTAGTTGTCCTGGAACTCTCTCTGGAGACCAGGCTGGACTCAAACTCACAGAGATCCGCCTGCCTCTGCCTCCCAAATGCTGTGACTAAAGGTATATGCCATCATTCCTGGCTTAAACAAAAATTTTAACTTAAATTTTTTGTGTGTGCCCATGTGAAAGCCATGGGAAAGTTCTGTGTCTACTCTCTCCACCTTTTGGGTTCTGGGATCAAACTGAGGTCATCGGGCTTAGTAGAAATGTCTATTACTTGCTCAGACATTTTTTTGGTCACTTCCATCTTATTTTAGAGATGAAAGTTACGCTCTTGTGGAGACTGGAGATTATCAAATCAGCTAGGTTGTCTGCTGGCAGACTCCTGAGGTCCTCACTTCTCTGCCACCCACAGCACTGGGGTTACAATAGAGTACCTCTGCACCCAGTTCACATGGGTGCTTGCACAATAAGGGCTTTACTGACTGGTCCATCTCTCAAGATTCCCATCTTTTTCTTCATTCTCTGTTTCTTCCAACTCCCTTGCCCTCCAGTTGTGTATACCAAGAACCCACTCTCTACATAAATCTCTTGGGCATTTCACACGTGTGAGGCCATGAAAGGAATCATAGTCTTTCCAATCTGCTTATTTCCCCAGCATACTATATCAAGATTCTCCTGTGTCAGCTCTTCGCCCTGTTAACGGCTAACTCATATTCTGTTGCACTGCTACAGTATATTTTATTCATTCATTAACTATTTTTAATAATTTTTTTCATTTATTTTACATACCAACCACAGTTTCTCCTCCCTCCTCTATTCCCGTTCCCTCCCCCTACCTCCTGTCTACACCCCCATCTTCTCCTCCTCCATTCAGAGAGTCATCCATTAACTATTGATGAACATTTCAGCAACTCTAAATTTTTTTTCTGCTTTGATTAATGTTGCTGTGTATGGCCATGAGCAAGTGGTTTTGTTGTGTTTTGTTTAGTTTTGTTTTGTTTTCCCTGAATGTTTTCCTTTTTCTTGGATATATATCTAGAAGTGGGATTGTGCCAGACGGTATAGCTAACTGTTTAGGAACTCCCAGACTGTTTCCAAAGTGTCTGCACAGGGCCTTCAGTTGCTCCGGGTTTCCGGTGAGGGCGGAGGTGAGTGCATGATGAGGCCCAGCAGGGCGCCTGTCCCGTCTTTGTAACAGCCACTGAAAGAGGAGGTTGAGAGGGTGGAGGATGCGTGTGCAGCCTGATCTATGAAACAGGAGTCAATCTCTCTCCTCCCTCCTTCCTCCTCTTTTTCCCACTCTCCCTCCCCTCCCACTATCTCCCCACCTAAGATGTGGGGAGGTAAGAATCTGTCACTTTTTTTCCCCCTTCACTATGGTCTCAGAATCCAAAGAGTCAAAGACTATGAATTGAAACCTTTGTAGCCAATCAAAACTCAATCTCTCCTCCTTTTAAGTTTTCCTGCCAGGAATTTTGTCACAGTTAGCACCTTGCCCTTCGTGGAGAAAGCAGAATTTCCCTTAAATCTCAGAAGGCTTTTGTAAGCCTGTGGGGCACTGGGATACCAGGATGTGAACTCAATGCTCTTTCAGACTGGCTGAGAGCAAAGCAGTCCATTAACCACCCTTTGAATAGTAGCAACAGACCACTTCTATTTCTTTTTATTTTCCTTTTTAAAAACTTTTTTATTTTAATGTTGCCTTAATGGCACACACCTTTAATCCCAGCAGTCAGAGGCAGAGGCAGGGGAATCTCTGTGAGTTTAAAGCCTGGTCTACATAGAGAGTTTCAGGCCAGTCAGAACTACACATTAAGACACACACACACACACACACACACACACACACACACACACACACGTGATCTTTCTCTCCTTCTTGGTACCATGCAGTAGGCACAAGTAAGCTGACAGCAGGCACTTAGTGCAGACTGCGTATTAATTTACTACGTCTGCTGCCTCACATTGTAGGGTTATCCCCTCCTCAGAAACCTTTGAGAAGAGATGCCTTGCTTTGTGTGGTGGGACTGAAGGCTTTTTTTGGAACCTTGCTGTGCCTGTTAACAACCTTAATATAGCCCAAGGACAACTATCATCTATGTATCTATCATCTGTGTATGTATGTATGTATATATGTATGTATGTATGTATGTATCTATCTATCTATCTATCTATCTATCTATCTATCTATCTATCTATCTACCTATCTATCTACCTGTCACCTACCTATGTATCTATCATCTATCTATGTATCTACCTATCTATCATCTATGTATCTATTATCTATCTATCTATCTATCTATCTATCTATCTATCTATCTATCTATCTACCTTTCTCTCTGTGTTCCTCTGTTAGGTTTTAGAAATGAAGAAGAGAGGAAAGAGACCTGGGAAAAAATAAATACACTTGCCCCCACCTCCAACTCCCTAATCCCTTCTCCAACTGTGACATAACCTACTTCCTCCAGCCAATCCCCACCTCCTAAGGATTCCAGAACCTCCCTGAAAACTAGGCTTCATTTCATGAGATTTTTTAGGAAGGATACTTTATATCCATATCTTCCTTTAGAAAGAAAAATGGAACGAAACATACTTCATCTGAGACTTTTTGGGTGACTTCTCATTGTGTCTAAGACACTGATAAGTGGCTGCAGCCTCTAGCATCTACCATGGTCTCTCTGGCCTACTGGAATCCACATGACTTGATCTCTGAAAGCCATGAGTGCCAGGAAGCTCACATTTTCCTTGGAAACAGATATTAACCAATGACTGATAAGCTGCGGGAGGACATGTACCCCATCTTTCTTTCTTGCTTCTAGTTGAAACAACTGTGCGGTGTGGTCTTCAGTATTTTTAGGAGTCCTGGAGGGCTCAGGCCAAAATCCTTCTCTAAGCACTATTAGATGGGGACTGATGGGGGCGGCTTGAAATCTAAAGGAAGACAGCATCGGCAGAAGCACAATTGTTCCTTTAATCCAAGCAGCTGAAGGACACCAGTATTTCTGCCAGAGTAGGGACTATGCTTAAGAGGTGCAGGGGTCTTACAGTTTTATAGGGTGGAAAGGGGGACTGTTGGGATGGAAGATTCCATCAACAGGTCAGCTCCCCTCCTGTCTCAAAGTGGCAGATACCAGCAGGGAGTGGTTTGTTGGTCACCTTACCAGAAGTTTCCACAGGTAGGTGTTCTCCTCGAAGCCAACTTTTCTGTCCTGAGTTTCCAGTCCACCTGAGGCTTCAAGGATCTTGCCTAATGTGACCCTGTGTTTTCCCTCTGCTACAGTTTGAATCTAAAATGTCTCCTACAGGCACTTTCATGCTTTAAATGCTTGGCTCCCAGCTGGTGACTTTATTTTGTAAGGTTCCATAAACTTTGAGAGGCGGGACCTGGCTGGAAAAAGCAGGTCACCGAGGGTGTATTATCTCAACCTACTTCCTATGTTGCTTTCTACTTCCCAGTGCATACATAACAGGATTAGCCTCTGCCACACACTCCTTCCATCAAGAACCAAGCTGCTCTGCCGTGCCTCCTGTACATTGTTCTTGTCACAAGGGAAGGGTGCCCAATACAGTCTCCTCTCCTGCTCTCTCCTCACTGCTCCTTCTTCATCTCTTCCCTTTCCTTTTGTTTTCACCTCTCCTCACCTTCATTCTCTTCTCCTCTTCCAGCTCCTATTTTTCTTCTTCTGAGATTGGCCTCATTATTTGAGACACAAACTTCCATTGCCCCACATGTTAGCCTTCAAAGTTCTGGGGTCACAGGAATACACCATCACATTGTCCCCCTTTATTGTTGTACTCCATCACTTCACTACCAATTTTATTTTCTGGGAATGCATCTTAACTAACTCTCACCTCAGGTCAGTCCTGACTCACAAGGACCCAACAATTTATGGGGATCCATGGTTAGGACACTTTGTCTATTTGGAAATTCACCCCAGATATTTCTCCTGTTGTGGGTGGATGTTTATTTCCTGCCTACCAGTTCCCAAATAATTGGCACTGAGACTTAATATTAATTCCAAATGTTCAGCCAATAGCTCAGGCTTGTTACTAGCCAACTCCCACATTTTTGAATTAACCCATATTTCCTATCTATGCTCTGCCACGTGCCTGGGTACCTTTTCTCAGTACAGCATGCCCATCTTGCTTCTCTTTACATCTCCTCAATACTCCTCTGACTCTGCTCTTCTTCTTCCCAGTATTCTCTGTTTGGCTCTCCCCCTAACCTTATCCTGTCCAGCTATTGGCCAGTCAGCTTCTTTATTAAGCCAATCACGGTGACCTATATTCACACAGTGTAAAGGAATACTCCACATCCTGTTTTTCAGGAGACTAGTAGTACTACTAAGAGTGTCTTCAAAGTGACATTCAGTCTTTGTAAAGTCTTAGGAAAGTTCAGATCTCCTGCTCAGTTATTATGTTATATTATTTTTTCAAATGAAAGAATAAATCTAATGACATTAAATATTTGGAAGTCTGGTTTTTTTTAATTGATTAAGTCGATTTATTAAAATAGTTGACTTAGGCATCTGCAATGGTGACTTCAACCTCCATTCCTGGCTCAATATTGATGGAAGTACTCTGTTTAACAATCT